AAACTGGACGGCATACTAAAGGAAAAGAGCTGGTCACTCGCGGTCTCTCACAGTCGCACACTGCTTCTTTAATTCTCTTTGGCCTTCGTAACCTGTTCACGCTTGTTTGCATTGTCCAAGGACATATTGATAATTTGGCTATATCTATTATATTACAATTTCCTACAAATGGGCTACATATGCTATGTGTATTTCTTTTTTCTACGGTGTGTTGTGACTCGCTGTTTGAAGTGTGAAGGAAGACTTCTTTGAAACGTCTCGTTGTTGCAGGCAAGGTCATAATATTGTATACCAAAGTTAAATGTATAAGGATGAAGCCAAGATAACGTGAAATTGCACAGCCCTGAAATACATAGTACAGAAAATGAAATCAATTATAAAAGATATTTAATTTGTTACAGGTAATTATTATGTACAGAAAATTGCATTCAAATTTGTACTGCTGGAGAAGGATTTTAAAAATAATTAACTTCTTTTAAGTATTAAAGTACTAACCATGTTTGAGATTCAATTGAAAATTTTAAAGTGCTATGGAAAATTTAGATTCACATACTTATATAATTTCTCTAATTTTCTTTAAAAAAATTCCCTTGGCTTACCAGGAGAGTACCTAATTGAAAATTGCAATCATCATTCCATTTCCGGTCAATAAAGATCTAGGAAGTGAGATTCGGAGGAATGTAAAGACAATCAAACTACGCAATGTAATCTTAAAAGGAAGCTAGCAAACAGTCCGTGATAAAAGATGGTGATAAACACAAACATCGTAGATAGTGTTATTTTTGATAGTATTCATGATTCTCGCTTCTAACCAATCAACTCACTCGTTTTATTCATTTTTGAAAGAAACGAATAAGTAGGGTTGAAATCCAAATGAGAGACAAATAACAATCTCGACCAATGGAAGCAGCTTTGTCCCATAAATACCCACTTGCACTATCTTGTGTTTGCGATTTATTTATGAATTGGATATAAACAATGAGTGAAAGATAACTTTTGATAACAGGGGCTTTTTAAATAGAAAATCCGTTATTTAGTGTAGCATGCGAAAATTCTATCTTGAAAACCATCGCTTTAAAGTAAGAATGGTAAAAATAAACAGCTTTGTAGACCATAGATACAGAAATTTCAAAAGAAAGCTAATATAATACATAAGTATTCACTAAAGGTGTATATTTATTTCAAACAATGTAAAATGTAGTAGAAAACCAACAACACTGTATATCCTGATGTGTCGAATCAACTAAATAGATAGAAGGTCATGAATGGAAATATATTTTATAAAAAAAACTAATAAATTGACCAACAACATGAACATTAACAAATATGAACATAAACAATAAAAATCATATAATAAGCTGTTTTCAACTGAAAAAGTTTATATGGCTAAGCTGCACTTAATATGTTTGGGCCGTAGTTCAGTACCATGCATACCACTGTAAACCTTTCAAATATGAAAAAGAAAAATACATGAGACTTATCTATCAAAATAATAAATTAAGTCATAACATAGGGATCTCTAGAAGAATGAATTGTTACATTGCCTATTTGATCTCCTTGATAAAGTGAGAAAAACTTTAAGTACAATTGATGTATATAGGAAAAAATTCTACAAAAAATTCTTATCATTTTTTTTTATGTAGATCGCATTTTTATACATCACATGAACATTTCTGTGAATAGAATTTTTCCCCTATCGAAAAAATTCCAAAGGCCACCTATCAAATATTCTTTTGATAATTATATCTTTGAATGGTGTTCTGTTTATGCATTGTTTCAACTAGAATCATTTGGTAAGGAAGTAAAGCGATAATTTGTTCTGAAAAAACATTTTCATTGCCTTCTTTTCCCGTTTCCCCATGTGGTCTGAAATATAGATTTTCCAGTTTTTCAGAATTATCATACAAGTAACTTTGGCTAATAAAAAAGTATACTAGGTATTTTATTATCATATTATCATTTATTATAATATTCTATGAAAATAAGAAGATCTCAGAAACAGATATTCCTATGCTAGTGGTGTAGGTTAATTTCTTTTTCGACATGAAAATACTGAGATGTCACTTGAATAAAGTTGAATCAAAATATAAAATATTTAACAGTTAAAATAATTTATTAGCACAAATCACATACAGCATCAAAAATTTGGTTTCATTCGGTCAGTAGCATAAATACTAAAAAAAAAAAGATGAAGATAACGAACACCGAATGTCATGAATCCTGTAAACATAACAAATTGTAAACAGGGAACAAAACACAGACACCTGGAAACACTTGAGGTGGGATCAGGTGCCTAGAAGGAGTAAGCATCCCCTGTGGACCGGTCACATCCGCCATAGGCCCTCTGTATTGATCAGGTAGACGGAGTACTGAATAAATCTTGTCAGTCTGGTCTTGAATTTATGACGGGAAGTTGATTTATAAAGTGTCAAAAAAGTTAAAAATCATACAGTTCAATGTTTTGATATTTGGAAATAAATGTGATTTCAAACAAAGTTTCAGTTTTTAAAAATCCACATTTTGAATTTACACCACCTCTTGAAATTATAGAAGCGCAGTACCTTTGAATTTTTTCCTTCACAGCCTGTTTTAATTATTTTTGTGAGGAAGTAAAGAATGGCAAGGGGGGTAGAACATTTACTGAACATTGCTATGTATGTTTGTAAGGACTTTTATAAAGCTTTTGGATGTAGTATAGAAACGGTTATTCAAATTCACTAACGTAGACTAAGATGTTCACAGTATTTTAGAGTAAAACGTGATTTTGAATTTAATCCTTTGAAAGTTAACATTGATTATAAGTTAAGTTTTCAAATATGGAGTAAAAGCCAGTAATGCAGTTAGATGAGTCTTACAAATAAAGGCCACATCATAACAAATCTTGTCAGCTGAAGCCATAACATATTTTACATGTAGTCTATCTGATTCCTTAATCACTTTTAGACTACTGAAAACGGAAGGATAGATGGTACTTTTCATTGTCGAATACAACTTCAGAATTTAAATGTCATATGCACGGATCTTATCTAGCATTACTTTGCAGATTATAACATATGTGACTATATTCAACTATAGAACAGTAAGTGGTTAAATGTGGAAATTGAAGTACATCAAAAACTTTAATCTATTACTCAAAAAGAAAATAAAGGCCATATACAGCAATAAATAGATAGCAAGCATTCAAAAATGAAAATAACATTTTACATATATCTGTCTTCCTCTAAAGATGTTAGAGAAGTAAGTACAGGCATAACGGACAGAAAAAGAATACAAACTTCCTGAAATAACTAAAAAAAAGAATACAAAGTACCTAAAATAACTATAAAAGAAGTGAGGGGGAAAACAAATCACTATGACACAAAAGGTAAAGACCGCAAATAAAAAAAAATCAGCTGCCCATTGCAATTTGTTTTTTTTTTTTTTTTTAATTTCTTGTGTCTGTTGTTCAGTGTCAATTTATTTTCTTTTATTCCACTTACAACTGTATGAGCAGTATCTAGCAAGCTGTCCTTTTTAAATCTATAAATATTTATTGTCAATTACAAACATAAAGCACATTGCTATGTGACAGTTACTATTTCCATCTTTAAAATCAGATATGTTAAATTGAAAATTGAATGATGGTCGAGGAAAAACAACAAACTCGCACCAATTAATCAAATATCAACCAAAGTCCTGATGTCGCACGTGCAGCATGAAAACTCAGTTATGGTTATCTCAAAACAAAATTTTTAAACATATGCTTAGATTACATGCAATGAGTTAACATCAGTTATCTTAATTCTAGTAATGTCTGCACCTTTGGTTATTTACAAAAAGTAACTGTAAATTGACTATAAATATTTATGAATAGCATTAAATAAAAAGGAGTTGGTATTCGGTATTGATCAATTGAATATGGAAAACTGAATTATTACAGCAGAGAATTTCGGCTGAAAGCACGGATTATTGACAATAAACTATTGCTGTATTGTTCGTCTTTATTTAAAATATTTTTTTTAATCTCTTTATTTTGAAATTTGATACGTAGTTATTTACACATATCTTGTTTGATTGATTTTATCGTCAAACTTAATTGAAAATCTCTGATTGAGAAAATTAGATAGACAGTTTCTTTTATTGCTTTGATCATTTAAAATTTAAATTAGTTAATAATTATGATTGAGATATATTATTAACGAGAAAAAAAATGATTGTCTGTTATAAGAAATTATCTGTTTTCATAACTCTTACTTCAAAAATTTAAAATTCTTTTCAAAATCCGATCTAGCAAAAACCATGTCGAAATTCTAGGAAGTCGGAAAATATAACTTGTCTGTGATAGTACACAAGTACCCCCACTTATAGTTAGACCACTAAACTAAAGTACCTCATTTACTAGCACACACAGGTAACCAATAATCTACCCAAAGGGTATCTACATATAAAAGAAATATTTCCTCAAAGAGAAGGTAGCGGTATATAAATCAAAATAGTTAGCTTCTTTTGTCAAAAAAGAAATATCTAGACAAAATTAAGTCACAAGTAATTTGGTTCTATATATAAAAATGGTATGTATTTTATTAATTCATTTAAAAGTTAATATTTTTCAGGAAAAATATGAAGTTTTTTTGTATCTTATTAGCGTAATTCCATTAGCATTTTTTTCTGTTTCTGAAAAAATTACATTTCTCTTATAATTTCAATATGTCATCTTTCAGTCAGTTTAATACTAGTATCAAGTGCAAACTTTTAGGAAAAGCATATTTTTTTTCAAACAAATTTAAAAGTATTAAAGTTAGAACAGAAATTAGCATTCTAGTTCGAGAAATAATTATAAAACCAACATGATTCTGATTTTGAGGTTTAATTGTATTTTCCTTTAGTTGGTTCATATTTACTGTATCTTAGGTTACATTATAAATATTTTTCATATTGACTCCACTATTTAAATCTAAACTTGAAAGCAACATTAAAATATACAATGTTTTCTTCTACTGTAGAGAACATTTCTAATCTACATGACTGTAACACTGTCCCTGTTTGCGGTAGAGTCTATTGAAAAGAAAATAGAAGACTTTACGAATTTCAGGACAAATCAACAAACAGCCCAATTAAACAGGTTTCTAAGAAGAAGAAGAAGTATTCAACACTGTGATGCTATACAACAGTATCATGAAACAGGATTTAACATCAATCACGCCAGTATTTGTCCTTGGGTAAATAAACTGAAGAACGAAGGAAGACAGTTTTACTATGAAGCCGAGTGTCGATGTGTACGACCAAACAGCATTTACGTCATCGACAACAACATCCGGTGCGTGGAGGTGTTCAAATCTCTCAAATTCGAAAAAGTTGTCTGCTCCGGTGGTGCTTGTAGAATAGGTATTGTAGAAAAACGAGTTCCAGTTGCATGCGTCGCAGTCAACTCGGAATAACTCTAGAAGTATGAGCTTTCCACTAAAGCACTGACATCAGATTCACTGCCTGTAGATTTTATTTTAAAAGTTACCACGGTCTTTCATATATTATTTCTACTGATTTTCAAGCAATAAAAACTACAAAAAACCAGTGTTATTTATTTCCTATTAGTAGGATTTTAGATAATATGCGGGAATTACAAATGATATCAGTTAAATGTATTTGTTCTGAAGTGATCACATGATCAATTTTCTCAGCTGGTCTTTAAGTATGGGCAATCAGGAATCAGATATTCTACTGGATTGTACGGTCGGTCGTCATAATGGCCTTTGTAAATACAATCTATCTTTGGGCCTTATTATGTCTGACATTTCATACCATTTGTTAGGTCATTGCTTTTATACTAAATTTGAGTACTCCGTCTACCTGGTCAATAAATAAGACTAACGGTGGTGTGATTAGTCGACAGGGGATGCTTACTCCTCCTAGGCACCTGATCCCACCTCTGGAATTTCTCTGGTGTTTTTGTCCTGTTTAGGAATCGTTTTGTTATCTGGAGTCATGAGCCTGATCACTGTTCGTTATCTTTACCTTTTACACATGACACTTTTCCCATATAAAATGATTTTAGCAAAATTATTTTTCACAAAAATAAAATAATGAATTTTGAACATGATTTATTTTCTGCTGATTTTCTTTCACAATCTTAATATGGTCAACAACCTGACGTAAGTTTACCTAATAGAAATGCATGTAACAATTGTATGGTAATGTCAGTCATGTTTCTATTTGTATTACCTTAAACTTGACTTAAAGTTGTGCTTTGCTGCTTTTTACCTTATATAAAATTACCTGAGCTCAATTCACAACAACCGTAAACCTGGGCCATATAAATCTGAGAAATCAAGACTACGTAGAATTTGAATTTTAAAAGCGACCATTATAAAATCAAACATTCCAAAACATCATTGGTACATTGGTACATTGGATAATAAAACCCAACAACATTTTGTGAAAGACAAAACTGGACAAGAATATATTTTCAAAAGAAACACCAAGTCCTCTCTTTCCCACCCCTGCCAAGAATGAATCCCGTATACATAGCAATTCAATAATTATGTTCCTCACTAATAATAATAAACACGTAGAAACCCGTTACTCATTATGTTTCATTTAATTAAGATTTCAGGGATTTATTTCGACTCAATTTGGTTTTGTATTGCTCCCGGCGTGTTAAAGCTGTTTAAGGATTATATTACTAGTATATGAGTACACAAATCAAAGTCAATAAAACAAAATAATTGAATAGCAACTACATATGCTAGCTAAGCATTCTCTAAAATTAGATGGATTACATCCTAAATTTTGGGGTACCTGTTTGTTCTGTAACAAATAATTTTTTCTTGTTTAAATGACAATTGATTATTACATAATGGTTTTGACCATTGTTATCTGTCAGAACTGTTTATAAAATTGACATAGAGTTGAGAAAAAAGGTTTTCCTGTTTCTATCGGGCAGATATATCATTGTATTACATATACAAGAGGATAAAGGTGAAAGGTCGACAAACCCAATAATTATAACAAAACTCCCACCGTCTTTATTCGTTTTTAAAGAAATTAATTTTAATAGGGTTAACGTTTGTACTTAAAACAAATAAAATTGATACAGACTTTCATGAACAAAATTACCGTTTCTGGTATTCTATTATTTTTTTTTTTATTTCATAACGAAGATAAATGTTTTAATATTTTGATATCTATGTCTTCATCAAATGATTTACACTTTTAAAAATGCAAGGAGTATTTGATTATCTCTTAGAATTAAGTTTGTGAATCGAGTTTCTGGGAGGCCTGATCAGACGAAGTAAACAGACAACATCATGATGTAGACATCCTGTTTTATTTTTCTTTGTCAGTTTGTTTTCCTTGTTAGTATTGGGTAAAGCGTCATCAGTAACGTCAGTAAGATTCCATATTTGAAAATATCATCAAATAATGATAAACATATTTTTAATAAATAAAACACAATCATTATAAATAATAAATAAATATGTAATAATTACAAAACATTTCAAAAATAAAATACATTTAAAAAGAAAAGAAATAAGAAGAAGAAAAAAACCTATTAAAATGAGATGTTTATACACAGCATTTTACATGTAAACATTTCTTAGACAATTGCTTTCAAAATTTCATGTACATTCTTAAGGTGGTAAGGGATACCAAATGAAACTTCTCTTACATATTTATGTACCCAAATTAGAAGGATTTGAAATACCCCCACCTTTCAGTATATTAAAGTGTAATTTTAATAATTTTTTTATTATTTTAATGAGAAATACAAAAATGATTTTTTTTCTTGCATAATTCTTTTTTCATAAGCTTAATATTATAGGCAGGCGTTTGCTAATATAAAGTGTATATAAAAACAAAAATGACAAGAAATATGTCTTAGTATTTTTTTAATTTTCAACAAAAAATAAGCGTAAAAAACTGGGAAAACTTTATTTCTTGAAAACAGACGGATAGCATTTCATGAAAGTCTACAATAAGAATATATCTTAATATGTTAGCAAAGTGAAATAAACAAATTGAAAATATATGTATAAATGGAAAATTTAAAATGCATTTAAAATTTTTTGAATTAAAAGATCCGAGCGGAAGAGTTATCCTTCTTTATTTTCCAAGGGTTGAAAAAACCTGGGTGCTATTTTAGAAATGATGAGCATTTTTTCCCAACCATAAAAAAATCGCACTTTGTAGTTTTCAACTTTGAGCGGTTTTGAAAACAATGCATGGACAATCGCTTTCCAGGACGTGTCTTGTTCAGAGCAATTGCATTCATCTGAACGTTTTGGGACTATATACAACAGCTAGCTGATTTGTGACCAAACAGTTACTTCTTGAATTAAATAACAAAAAAGTCCAGCTGTGGTTAACGTGATAATTGATTGGTGATAATTCAGCACAATGTGAAGTAATCGCACTTATCCATGCCTCACCGCACACAAGGTGCTGTACAGTTACTCAAACAATTGAAATACAGCTTTTGCTTAAAAGTGTTCAAAAGCAGCAATGTTGAAACTACCTTTTACAGGGGTTTGCTTTTTTAAATGTCCGTTGTACAATTATATATCAAGTAAATTTATATACTTGCGATTTTTTTTGTCTGTTTTTACTTAAAATGCCGACTTGTGAGAACTTGCATTGAAATAGGCTTCAGAGTGTTCTTTTCAACGGTGTAACTACAAATTTTGACCCGATAATAAGCACTCATGCAAATCAAAACAATACTTCAAACGGAAATACGTCATAACGTGGAGGTATCCCATACTACCTTAATTTTTAATCTCATAATGATTATTTCTAAGAATTATTTTTTTTAAAATGATTTTATATATATATATATATATAAATATATATATATATATATATATATATATATATATATATATATATATATATATATATATATATATATATATATATATATATATATATATATATATATATATATATATATATATATATATATATATATATATATTTGTTTTTAAGATTTATGTACAGCGCTTTAGATTAATTGTATATTATATTCATCGCTTAATAAATTTTGTATAATAAATAAAAAATAAATGAAAAGTATAAAAATGAAATTATTAATATAAAAAATATATTTGTTCTTTTTTGGCAGGTCATTATTAACTATACATGTACAGCAAGCGATAAATTGTTGAATGAAACACTTTTTTTTCTATAGAAAAAGATCCTATAAAAATAGATGAAAGTCAAAAATATTTCAAAAATGAAATAAAACACAAAATATTGTACCATTTAACAATTAGAGTACAAAATCAAAAATGTATTGGCCCATTCTATAAAATATTATTACGTACATGTATAAGATCAGTAAATTTCGATTTTCGATCAATACAAAATGACTTGATCTTATTTTCTATTTCACACATTAACAATTTACAACTGGAATACAAGCAATATTGATCATTTCTGTCGACCATACCCAGGTGTGGTTACTGAATCGTTTGACAGGCATGGCCTTTAAGACAGAACGGCAGTCTGTCCTCAAAAAGGCACAGCTAGGGCATGAACGGGGAGGGAGACATGTGGCATTATTCATTCGCATCGGCAGACGATATCTGTCGCACGTGGTCGTAATGGTCCATGGACACAATGACGTTTGACTGACGTCATCATGCGGAAGCTGCATAGTACTTGACCGACAAGGTAGGGTTACAAAGCTCTTGGAACATTTTATAAAAAATGTAAAGGTGAGGCAGGCTATGACGGTGATTTTCTGCAATAAATATATTTTATTTCAGCAAATATTTATTTGTTTTATAAATTGCATGTATTTCATTTGTCGCTGTCTTTTAATTGTAGTCGTTTACACATTTAGGCGTATTTTCTTACATTATCTAATTTCATGTTATGAATGTTTTTGTTAATTGAATATATTTTCCAGTTCGACATTTTTTTCAATGTCTGATTTCTTATCAGCTACATGCATAATACTGATAAAATATTTGAATAACGTTAAATACATAGCCTTTTGTTTTTGATTTCTTATTTATCCCTGGTTTCAACATAGCTTGGTTATTAACAAAGGACAGACTTCACAGCTATTAATGAAGTTGAAAATAGAAATAACGCTTCAGAAAAAAAATTACAGACTTTGTAAAAAAAATATTTTAAGCATTAAAATATCAAAACTTAAGTATTATGTTTCTCTACTTATTTTTGAGAATACTTACCATGTTGTTTTTATAGTTGCTGCTAGAATTTGTTCATATAAAACAAAACGCAGATTTTATATAGTGTATTAAACCTCAGATTGTCCAATAAAAGTTCTGAAGATTTAATTATATTTCAGAATTGAAGGGAAACATAATGTAGTAACCAATTTTTTTTTTATTAAGAAAAACCTTTAAAATTTGCGTCCCCCGCTGACCACATCAGCCTATGTCTTTGGACTATCGATTGACGGGGGATGGTTAATCAGTATTGGCAGCCCTCTCTGTTGTTTTTATCTTTTGTGATAACGAGATTTTGTGTCACTGACAATATTATATGTAGGCAGTCAAAAGATGTGTAATAGCCAATGCATTAGATATCCATTGATATAGATATCTATATAATCTATATAATATAAATACATGTGGATCTCTGTATTTGTTAAAATAAATTTGTCAAATGAAGTTCAGTATATTAAATTGTATGTATGTTAAAATATCTTATCCCTTGATAACAATTATGCTACATATTATTAAAATACAATGGTATACGTATTTCAATGTCATAAGAGTAAATATGACAAAACATGTATGTGTAGTATTAACATTAAATTATGCTTTACTCCAAGACAAGTCTTCAACTGATAGTTCTGGTGTCACTCAAAATTATTTAACACGTCATTGTCATCAGTGTTAATGAACTTTTAAAATGCATAGCCTTTCTTATCATATAAAAAGCCCTAGATCTTCTGATAAAATCACCATGTGCACTCTCTCAGACAGTCAGTTCACCAGATACACGAGCAATGGTTGTCCTTCTTGTTACACTTCTGTCCGCGCCATTAATTGGTAAGAGAGTATGTAAAAGATATTCTATTTTTTAAAATTCTTTATGACATTAAGACTCTCATAAATATTTTTTTTAGAAACATGTTTCATTTTTTGACATAACACGGACGGCCGTGCAGACAAATTGAATAACGTGCATTAGTTGTCTGAACAACCGTCCGTGTTATGACACGATGAACATCAAAAATTAAAAAAAAAAAATCAATTCTTATATTTACATTTATTAATATCATGGTACATCGTAGATAAATATAATATCTCTTCTTTAAATATATTATACCTGTTTAAATGATACACACTGCATTTTATAGCTAAATTGAGGGAGCAGCCATTACTGATTCACTTTTTTTGTTTTATGACGTTGTGCTTGTACGGAGTTCAACGTTATGGCGTAAAAAATTAAATCATTACTTGAATCTTTCACCTCCTCGTCCGTGTTATGGTGTTTATTTTTTAATGTTGAAGCTCCCAACACACTGTATTAGGACAATACATATGGCATGTAAATGTGTCTTAAGCAGGTGGATCGAATTTTATTCGTTAAACATAGGAACTCGAAACATTTTCCCAAACACATTTTAGGGTAGGTTTCTGTCGAAAATATCTTTTTTATGTACCATAAATTCAATGAATCAACTAGTATTTTTAGTGACCATCATAAAGAATAGCTTTCCTATCAATGAAGGTTAAAATTGTGAAAACCCCTAATCTAAGTACATTCTTGTTCAGTGGGTTTATGTAATAGTAAAAATTGGCTTTAAAAATTCTTACAACTCTTAGCTTGAGTTGTTATTCGGCAGGCAGATTTTCTAAATATTTTGAGTCCTTTTCAATGTTTCATTATAGTCTATGGCCTGGATTGTAGTGGACTTCCGGATGGTAATTATGAAATAGGATGTAGATCGTACGGAGTGTGTGCTGGAGGTGTCGTCAAAATCGTGGACTGTGATCACGGAAAAGTTTATGACAACTCCACTGGAACTTGTGAAGAGTAATTAAGCCTTCTCTCATTACGAATTAGAATCGATTAATACTAATAATTGTTTTGACTTCTACAAACAAGTTCCTTCCTTTAAAAACTATGAATTAGATAAAGCTAATGTGAAATCACTAACTTTCGTTAGGTTAATTTTCATAGTAAGGAGAGAAACATTAATTCATATAAAAATTTTCATTTCGAAACAATACTACATCCTGAAACCACAAAGTAAAATCCCCTACCTTGAAATCCCAAAAGTTTGACCCCAAGGAAAATAAATGATTTTAGAGTATGTGTGATTTAATAAGGTAATTGTATTTAGACCCTCTACTGTACATGGAATCTGTAGTCAGACACGTGACTGCTCTAATAAAGCTGATGGCCTGTACGCAGACACAGAGACCCACTGTAAGACTTACTACACCTGCTATAAAGGAGTGTTCGATAGTCATAATTTCTGCTCTAGAGGTATGTCTTGAACCAATTCTCATTTAAATCATTCATAATTATTTGATTTTTTTCAAAATGACATTCTTAACTCTTCGTACGAAACATTGTACGGGGATAATTTTGTCATTCAATAAGCGATGAAAAATATATTATGCAATCAAAAATAAGATAATTTTTGCTGCTATATAAAATTATTTTTTACTTTCAGTGACAGTTTTCGATGAAGCCAAACAAACATGTAACTGGCCGAATGCTGTTGATCCTCCATGTGGAACTAAAGGCATGGCTACGTCATCGACTGGTTAATGTCAAAGTGTGTGGACAACAAAACGATATATAAATTATAGAATTTTATTTTAAAAATTCAAAAAATATATTTTTCAATGTTCTATAATCTTGATTTTGTTTTTTCTATTGTTTGTGAATAGAGTACTTCATTTTGATGTCAGTGTCTCGTAAAGAAACTGTATGTTCGATATCTTTGTGAAGTTAAACAACTATAAAAAAATATTTAAGATAAAGTTTATAAAATGTGTTGATATGGAACTCTTATGTGCATCTGTATATACCACCAGCTAGATTATTTCAAAACATGACTGTGATGTAATCTTTTGTGTAACTAGTCCTTTAATTGACCTAATGCTGTTCTAAATTTAGAAAAAAATAAAGTTACCTATATAGATCCATAGAAATATGCCAATTCTTGAAAAGATTTTATTCTGAAAAAAAGATAATTTTTCTTTTATAATGGAGAGTCTATGAAAGGCTTACAAATGGAATGTAAATATGATAAAATACATCATTTAGAAAGCAAGTTTGAATAATGCAGTTTTCTTGAATTTGCATATTCAAGAAATCTATCAAGCCTTTGCCTTTTAATTGAATAACTCATAATTAACATCAGAAAGATCATGTAAAGTAATTTTTAAAGTTTATAGTTTCAGTTTGACATTTCACACAAGTTATTCAAATAAGTTTTTAAGAGACATTCTAAGTTTCACTGAATAGGGAAACAGTCTCATAACGTATATTTACTTGTATTTTCCATTCATTTGTAAATGCTACTTTAAGTAGATTCAATTTAATTTTTTTTTACCTTGACTTTTTTACTTTTCATAATCTAAATATGCAGCCCTCCATCGGCAAGTGGTGGTATCTCAATATGAGTGAAAATATCTCGAAGGAACGTTACACAAGCAAACAAAGAAATAACTCTTTTCTTAAAGAAGCGTATCTATAATTTAAATGATATCCTCTACTCACACCTGTACAGCTTCATAGTAATGGATGCTAGCAGACCTATTGTTACAATGGACTTTTGACCTTGATACTGTTCGTTTTCTAAAAATGTTACCAAGGTTTACTTACTAAATAATTATCATCTATTTTAAATCACAAAACTTCACAAAAATCAATAGCATCAAAACGTTCGACTTTTCAACTCTTACACAACCATTCCCCACAATCAATTAAAGAACAGATTTTTTGACATCAGAGACAACTGTTTTTTTCAATAAAAATGGAACTTGTCACTGGTTACCTGCAAAATTATTTTCTTAAAATGCATTCTGATGCAGTACAAAAGATGATATTAAAAAGAGTTTCTGAATGACAAAATTTATGTAATGTTTTGAGTTTAGCGGTAGGTCTGCCAACAATCTATTGGAATTATCATGGGTACTAACTACTAATTGCGCCCCGTTATTAGGAGACCTGTTTTTATATTCATATGAAACAGCATTTATTCAAAAACTTCTATATGAAAAGAAGGCGTCTCTTGCTGTGGCTTTCATATTTGGAAATTTTACCAGAGAAAGACATTACTCGCAAATTTACAACAAAACTTTATGATAAACGTGATGACTTCAACTTTTCTATCTCCACCTTCTCTAATTTAAGTTGCAATATACCAAAATTGCATGCATATGGAGTATATGTCTCTCTGTTGATTCAATACGCAAGAGTATGTTCTACGTACAAACAATTTCTAAAAGGAGGTAAGCTATTTACAAATAAGTTGATGATACAAGGTTTTAAAAGTCTCTTTACAGTCAACATTTCGCAAAATCTATGGTCGATACAATGACCTTGTAAGCAAATACAATCTATCGTTAAGTCGAATTTTGATTTCAAACACTTGATAGGCCATTATTTGTTGACAGATTTTTCGTTTACCGGATCATTACAACGAACACACGGTTGGTGTGACCGGTCGACAGGGTATGCTTTCTCCTTACTGGCACCTGATCCCACCTCTGATGTTTTAGAGATCCCTGTTTGCTATTCTCTCAATTTGTTCTACTGGATTTTTTAGCTTGATCACTGTCCGTTATTTCCATCTTTCATTGGATCTCAGCATTGCTGAAGCCAAGATAAATATAAAATTTTACTTCCTAGCTGGCTCCTACTTTAGCCGAAATACAAGAGATAATTAAAACAGGAGAGAGAAAAAAACAAGGGAAATACTATCACAAAACTAAAATGTAAAGGAGGAAAAAATTCTTTGTAAAAATTGAAAACTGCTTAATATGCAGAGGCAAAAGGCATGTTGTAAGATTCTCTCTCTCTCTCTCTCTCTCTCTCTCTCTCTCTCTCTCTTAAGAAACACAAAATAAAAGACTCATGCTAGTAAATGAATGAAATTGACGCCTACAAATCCAGGTGACTTTTATAAGTTGGCACAAATAAGAAAAGTGTTGGAGCGAAGAAAAATACAGAAACTCACTAAAATACATACAGTAAAATGAAGAAGTTAAAATCAGATGCAACATTTAAAAAAAACAATGTACCTAGAAAGGGCTTGAAAGGTTAAAATATCTAATAAAAAATAGGCAAAGCGACACTGTAGTCAATACAAAAAGTCTTGTTTTCTAGCCAAAATCGAAGACAAAAATTTAGCATAAGCCAAAAGGTTTTTGAAAATAGAATCGACAAGACAAATTGAAGTCCTATGTAGAACAAAATGAGTAAATAAAATTGATGTTGTCAATTTATCCGTAATTTATCAGCAATATACCGTCATCACCTGCATACGGGGTATATATCTCTCAGTTGATTCGATATGCAAGAGCATGCTCTACGTATGTACAATTTCTAAAACGAGGTAAATTATTGACAAATAAGTTGATGAAACAAGAATATCAGCTGTCTCGTTTAAAGTCATCATTTCGTAAGTTCTATGGTCGATACAATGACCTTGTCAGCAAATACAATTTATCGTTGAGTCAAATGCTGACTGACGTTTTTCATACTAATTGTTAGGCCATTATTTACACACTGTATTGTCGACGGATTTTTCCGTTATTTCCCGATCATGACAAGGAGCACACGGCGGGTGTGACCGGTCGGCAGATAATGCTCACTCCTCCATGGCACCTTATCCCACCTCTGATGTTTGGAGGTCTGTGTTTGCTCTGCTCCTATTTTGTATTGTATAATGGACTTTTGAGCTTCAATACTGTTCGTTTTCTCCATATATTTCATTACATGTCTTATTCAACATCAATAATGTTTACAATTTTTTCCCAAGAAAGTCGAGAATAAGAAAATGATGTATACAAACTTACAAAAAAAAACCCAAAACAAAACAAAACAAAAAAAAACAAAAACAAAAAACAAACAAGAGGCCCATGGGCCACATCGCTCACCTGAGCACAATGCTAGGCAATAGCACAAATCAATTCAGTATTGAAAAGATTACTTGGAGGGGGGGGGGGAGGGCTTGAATTTCAAACTACCTAATGATGCTTCCATGTCAATATAACAAATGGCTTTATTGTACTTGAGAAGATTTTAAAAAAAATTCCCATATATTCCTTTGTAAAAATTTGATTCCCCATTGTGGCTCCTCCCTATCCCAGGGGTCATCATTTGAACGAACTTGAATCTACACTACCTGAGGATGCTTCCATATCAATATGACTAAACATAGCTTTTCTGTTCTTGAGAAGAAATATTTTTTTCTATATGTTCTTATGCAAAACTTTCGATCCACCATTGAGCCCCACCCTACCCCCTGGGGTCATGATTTGAACAAACTTGAATCTACACTACCTGAGGATGCTTCCATATAAATATGACTCATCATGGCTTTGCTGTTCTTGAGAAGAAGATTTTTAAAGATTTTTCCTATATATTTCTATATAAAACTTTGAACCTCCATTGTGGCCCCGCCTTACTCCCGGGGGTCATGATTTGAACAAACTTGAATCTACACTACCTGAGGATGCTTCCACATGTGTTTCATCTTTCCTGGTCCTGTGGTTCTTGAGAGGAAGATTTTTAAAAGATGCTATTAATTTTTTACTTATTCTTTATTATTTCCCCTTGAAAGAGGGTGTGGCCCTTCATTTGAACAAATTTGAATCCCCTTTACCCAAGGATACTCTGTGCCAAGTTTGGTTGAAATTGGCCTAGTAGTTTTGGAGAATAAGATGAGAGACGACAACAACAACAACGACGACAACGACGACGACAACGACGACAGACAACGGACAAATTTTGATCAGAAAAACTCACTTGAGTCTTCGGCTCAGGTGAACTAAAAACAAAACAAAAACAAAGCAAAAAAAAAAAAAAAGCTTAGAAACCAACAATAAACCTATATGTATATGTAAGTATAATGAATAAGTTTAGCCGCACTTGTTTCATTTTTCATCCAGAGTTTCTCAGTAATGTCTTATAAAGTGATAAATTAGCTGCACAGACTTATAAGAATGATGGCAAAAAGGAAGAAATTCTTCATAGATAGTATATTACATTTCATAGGATCTTAGAAATTTGATTTCTGCATCATTATAACCAATGTAAGTCCAAAAATATATACCAAACCATGCATGTCCAACTACGAAAAATATCTTAGCTTAATTAGCTCTATTACATCAGTTGTATAATGAAAAACATGTGCAATCAGATGGTAGATTGATAGGTAAGAAAACAATACAGAATAAAAATTTTGATCCAGCAAATTGCCTGAAATTGTGGTTTTTTAGGGTTCGTTATCTTAAATCAACCCTAAAAGACATTTTTCATTAACTTATGAACTTTAAATTTTCCTGTAAATACAGATTATATCACATAGTTAACATGGATTCTGTTTACAGTAAAAGTTCCAGTTAATAAAATACATAGGCCTATATCTTCATTATAAAAATGTTTGTTCTCAGAATATTTCCTTGTGTTCGTAGGTGATCTGATTTTCATGTTTATAAACTCGTTATCAGTTACTGACTTTACGAAATTGATACCAGCAGAAATTTACAATTTTAATAAACTCTAAACTTCAATTAACTAATCATGTTTAAAATTTATATTGGATCGGTTTTGAATATTTTATTTAGAAGTTTGGTCTTTAC